TAGGTCAACAAGCGTGTCTGGCGGTTACAATGGACTCTTTGGGAACTGACTTCTGCTGTGTATCGGAGAAGGGAATCCAGGATCCTAGTAAGCAGGTTAGGTGATGATGAACCCCTTTCAGTGGGCCAGCGTGGCGCGGGTATTGTACTCAACAATACAGCCGAAGCACAATTACTCGATTGGATCCCCGTCAACAGTCGCTTATGTGCGATGCGGCTCCAAGGGCCTATTGGCGTCCGGAAGGAAAGCAACACCAAGAGGTTTTTTTCATTATTTCAGCGTATGCACCGACCAACTGCAGCTCTGACGCACAAAAGGACGAGGTCTATGATAAACTCACCGAACTCATTCGAATGAGTTGAAGTCTTGCAGGTGATTCTAACGCTCAAATTAGAAAACTGAGCGCATCGGAAGCTTGCCTACGCGGTTACTGTGCTCTCCCCGCAAGCGAACAGATAATGACGATCGACTTCTTCAGTTCTGCGCAGATCATCATCTGTTCCTATCCAGCACCAACTTCCGTCACTGCTTTCAACGGACAGCAACGTGGTGCTCAAATCCGACTGGCACACTAACTCATCGACCACATAGCACTAAGCTACCGTTGGCGTGGCTCGGTACAAAACTACAGGTCCTATCGGACCACCTGCATGGAGTCTGATTATGCGTTATTGCTTTTGGTCGCGGAAAATCCCACCAAATTCGATTGGCGGATCATCACTTATCTGACTCAGCCGTTCGTGCCCGTTCTGAATCAGAACTAGGGCAAGAGCACACCGCTCTGTGGGATGGTAGTGTAGATGGACAATGGGATCAGATTAGACGAGCAATGCATTCCGCTGCGAACGTTGCTTGTGGATCTGAAGCGGTAGTCCGCCTAAGGCATTGGATATCTGATTAGCCAGTAGCACTGATGGAGAAAAGGTGGCGATTCCCGACCGTCCAGGATCAAGGCAGGAGTAGGTGATATCTGCAACTTCAAATCAAGAAGAGCCTCAAGATAGACTGTGAGAACTGGTGGGCAACGATAGCTAGTGAAATGGAAGTAGAAGTTGCATCAGGGAACAGTCAAAGACTATACGGGAGATACGCAATACGCAACACGAGAGGTCGGCGAACGACAGTTAATGAAACAAGCTGCGACCAATCGGCCAAGCTATTCACAATAGGGAACAACGGCTTGACCGATGGGTGGAGTACTTCAACGAACAGTTCAGCTGGCCAAGCGTTAACCAGGCTATCTCCTCCGATGTATCTGGGGCTTCATGGGCAGTGTCATTTAACATCTTACTGCAGCAGAAATTCGTTCTTGCGTCCAAGTGCTGAAGAAAGTAAAAGCAACAAGACCGGGCGGGCTTCCTCCCACTCTTTTGAAGATAGGGAGCGATGACCTTAATGCGTAACATCTGGTCACACGAGCGCATTCCATCATCCTGGAGCAAATCACTGATCGTTCCAATTT